TGCGTCGCGGTCGCGGTCGCGGTCGCGGACGCGCCCGCGGCCGTGGCCCCGGCCGTCGCGCGGGGCCAGCTCGCCTACGAGGCCGTCGTCGCCGCCGTCCAGGGCGCGGCCTACGCGGTCTTCGGCGCGCGCCTCCTCGAGCGCCTCGACCGCATGACGGGCTCCAAGGCCGACGCGCGCGTGGACCGGTTCCGCCGGCGCGTGCGCCGCCTGCTGCTCTGCGCGGGCGCGGGGAGCCTCGCCGTCGCGGCCTGCGCCGCGCTCTCGGCCGCGCTGCCGCCGACGCCCGCGACGTGCTTCGCCGTCGCGGCCGTCGGCCGGCGCGCCGTCGAGGCGCTCCTCGCCGTCGCGGCGTCGGCGTTCGGCCTCCGCGCGTCGGCGGCGGTCGCCGCGGGGCCCTACTTCCCGCTCCTGCGCGGGCTCGCGCGCCGCGGCCCGTCGCTGCGCTCGTTCTTCTTCGGCCGCGGCCCGTCGTGGTCCCGGTCCTCGTCGGCGGAGGGGAGCGTCGAGCTCGGCGACGTCTACGGCGACAAGGTCGCCGCGCGGACCGTCTTCTCGCCCATGGGCCGCGACGTCCTGCTCTGGCGGAGCCGGTCGAGCCGGGCGTCGTCGTCGGCATCGTCGCCGCGCGTCGCCGCGCGGGTCGACGCGCCGCCGCCGCCGGAGGCCGCGCGGCGCCGGTCGACGGGCGACGGGCCGGCCGGCGCCACGGCGCTCCCGGGACCCGCGCGGCGCTCGTCGTCCGTGGTGTAATTACCTGCGCAAGACAGTGCACGACCTCTTCAATAACTGGTTCAAGAGGTCGATCAGGCCAAACACCGGCGAGATGGCGGCGCCTTCGTTGTCGGCCCTCGTCGCCGTCGGCGCCCGCGCCCGCGACGCGGCGTCCAACGGCGATGCGAAAAACGGCACGCCCATCGCCGACGACGACGTCGAGCGGTACCAGATCCAGCCGTCGACGCGCCCCGCGGGGCCCGCCGCGGCCGTCGCGCCGGCGCCGCGGCCGACGCGCGGCGGCACGGGCTGCCTGCTCATGGCGCCGCCGCCGCCGCGGCCGCGGCCGCCGAAGAAGGCCGTGCTCGAGGAGGAGGCCTACGTCGACGAGATGCGGCGCATCATCGACCGCGACTACTTCCCCGGCTTAGCCGAGGGCGACGCGCTGCCGATGACGCTCGACGCGTTCGCCGCGCGGCACACGTCCGAGGACAACGCGAGCTTCGAGGAGGCCCAGGAGCGGAGCCGGCTGGACCACATCCGGAAATACTGGTGGGCCTACGACGAGCGGTCGCTCTTAGAGGCGGGCGTCGAGGTGCCCGATCCGACGGACCCGGGCCGGCACCTCCTGAGCGACGGCACGCGCCTCTCGGAGGCGCGGCGCCTCCTGGCGGACGCGGCGGCGGCGGCCGCGCCGAAGCGCGGCGACGAGCGGCGGAACGGCCTCGACTTCGCGCCGCACGAGGCGCGGCCCGCGCTCCTGTTCCCGCCGAGGTACGACGCGCCGCGCGAGACGGCGCTCGCGCTGGCCCGGGGCGCCGACATCCGCGGCGGCATCCAGCGCGCGAACACGCGCTACGCGCCGCCGCGCCGGCGCGGCCGCGGTCGCGGTCCGCGTCGTCGTCGGATTCGGGCGCGTGGCCGGACCTCGGCGACGTCGCCTCCGACGGCGACGGCGACTCGTTGGCCTACCCGAGCGCCTACGACGGCGGCCACGACCGGCTCGTGCCCATGACGCCGCGCATCCACCCGGGCGGGGAGCCGGGCGGCGCGTCGCCCCTCGTGACCTGGGGGACGATGGCCGCGACCCCGCTGCCGCTCGACGACGGCGGCCTCCTGAGCCAGCCGGCGAACCGCCGCGAGGCCCTCGGCCGGTCTTTGGACGCGCGCGCGAAGCGCCGCCAGGTCCCGCCGCCGTCGCCGCTGCGCGCCGCGCTCGACGCGTCGAAGCGGCGGCGGACCGGGTCCGCGACGCCGAGGACCACGCCGAGGACCACGCCGGGCGCGCGCCGCCGGTCGTCGGCGACGCCGCGCGCGGGCTGGTCGGGGGACGCGACGCCGCGGCCGAGCCCCCTGCCGAGCCCGCGGTGACGACGTTGCCGCCGGGTAAGCTGTGACTGTGGGTGCCGACTGAGGTGCGACGGGGTCCCGCAGGCCTGGCGCGCGCAGCCTGAGAAGCCGGCATGCATGCCCCTGCCCGAGGATGTCCCGCCACAGGCCGCGCCGAGGTCTCGCGCCGCTTGCGCATGCCCGCCCAGGGGCCTGCCGCGCCGCACCGCGACACCATCCACAGGCCAGTCGAAGTCGCTTCTCATCAGCCATGGGTGGCGTCGTCAGCGCCCGATGCCGCGCGCCCCACGTGCGATGATTTCGTTCGCTTCCTAGGTATTCCAGTGTTCGGAGATTTGGCCAAGCCCGCCGGCGACGTACGATCCGGCGTCCGGCGCCGGGGGCCGTCGGAACGGAGCCCCGTCAAGTGGAGTTCGCGAGAGTGCCGTACGCTCGCGTCGACCCCGGCGGGCCCGCGCCCTCGTCCTCGGCCCCGCGCGCCCGCCGCTCGACCCCGGCGCGCCCGCCGCCGGAGCCCGGCGCGCCCTCGCCGCGGTCCCGCGCGCGCGGTCGTCCCCGTCCCCGGCGCGCGGCGGTTCTCGGCGCCGCGCGCGCGCGCGACTCGGCCCCCGCGCGCGCCCGTTCCGCCGCCCGAGCGCGCCCGCCGCGCGAGCCGCCCGCCGCGCAGGTCATCGGCGACGACTACACGA